GCAATCTGTGTGTGTTCGCTGGTCATAACCACCTCTCACATAGTTCCATCGATATCCTTATGTCAGAATTATATCATGGTGTCGCCTCTGGTATATTGGTGAGTGGTGTCGGCGAAACCCTTCGCTATGTATATGTCACACACTGCCACTCTCACGTGCAATGATGACAATGTCCTGAAATAGACTCCCGAGTGTGGCATCACGACCGACCGCCTCACCCTCCCTCTTCGCCGTTCGTTTGTGACTGTCAGGCCAACACGCCCGCGAGGGCCTCCCAACTCCAAGAGCAAGGACCGGGTGATGGTCCCAACGAGCAAGATTGACGGCGAGAGGGACATCCGGTAGATCCGGAAGATGTGACCCTTGAGAACCTTGTCGCCACATACAGCTACTATTATGAGAGAAAATCGCGGCAGTGAAGACAACCTGGTGTTGCACACCATCCCCAAGTTGCCGGCGACTGGCAGTCTCATCCTGGCCGTTGACCTGGCAGCGGGGGGCAGGAAAATACTGGACCACCTTTTCTAAGAAGCGGAAGCGGCAGCCCTGAGTCGTGGAGGCGACCGCATTAGAAGGAACACAGTCGACCCTACGTCTCCGGGCTGCCGCTTCTTGGACCAATGTGGTCCAGCCTCTTCCCGTCCCCCGCTGTCACAGGTCAACGGCCAGGATGGGACCGAGATATTTGAGGCCAACGTCGCGGACACGGCATCCCCTGAGGGTTACGAGAGCCAGGATGTAGCGCAAGAGAAACCTCCCTCGCGAAAGCACGTACTCTTAAGTCTTGGTACGTGTACAAGATGGCATCAGCGTGTATGTTGGATATCGGAGGCCGACAACATGGCATAAAAGAAGCGGTGGTTCCGTAGCTAATTTTCTCCTCTTTCTCCCAAGCACCCCGACCGTAGTCGGTTTGCTACCGACCCACACACTGGCGAAGCACTAAATCATTAGTTTACAACACGAAAAAAATATTGTTCTTGGGACGCTACCAGAAACCCCATGTGAACAGCAGTCATTAGCAATAAATACGTCGTTACGACGCCCGCTAAGGAAATAGCACAGGTCTACCATGATAACAGAGAGCCTCGGTGACGCAACGCAGGCAACCGAATCAAATCAGCCCATTGACAAAAAACAAGGAGCACGATCCCGGACATACATGGTAAGTCTCCACCGTTGTGCAACATATCTAACTGACCCCTGGAACGCCTTCAGGAGAGATACGTCCATCGAAGGCATTCGGCCTTAACTCTACGGGCCCAAACCAAGCGACAAAACCACAGTGCGATCCTTGCCCAATCTCTGACACTCCCGTCCCCGGCACATGAGGTTTCCCAAGTGCTGCACATCCAGCAGGGAGAAAGTGCGTCAGAGCACCGAACGGCGGCGCCAAACGACCGCACCCTGCCTGTACATAGACTTCACTCGTGCTCAAATGACAAGTGTTTGACAGCCATGTACCGCATCTCGTGATTCTTCGAAAACAATCCACGCCGCCCATCTCCAAACTTGTTCCACCCCTTCCTCACCATACGTGTCGCGCAGGTGCCTACACTTTATGCTCGGATAACCCAACGCTAGTAGTCTCGCGCACACCTTTATTCAAGGGTGAGCCGCGCCTCACAACAGGACGCACAGGAGACAAGAGTGATGCACACAGTTCCCTCCAATATTCCACAACAACACACCTACCGCAGGCGGGCCAAGCTGCAATCAAGAGGTTAAATTGAAACAACCAAGAGCAGAGCTTGCCTGTTTAGCGGCAACACGGATAGCATGCGAAACCACAGCAACCCTCAAACTTGACAAAGAAGGCGCCTCTCCAGCCGGCGCCGACGTCCAGGGTGTGACGAGCGCGCCCGGGTTGTGCACCTCACTTCACTCATTCGAACCGTAACACATGCACCCCAGGCGTTTTTGAGATCGGATTCGACCATCTGTGTATGTACGTACGTGACTGCCTGTGGTTCCCATGCGTCCGAGTCTCGCTGTTGCTCGTATTTTTTGGCGCGGCTGGCCTTTGTGTCCGTCACGCGCACATCAGTCTGCGCGATCCAGGGTCTAAGGTGATGCCGACCAGAAGCCCCGCAGTGACTGCCTGGCGCATATTGAAACCCTCGCCAAGAATAAGCGGCTGACTCGAGAAAATACACCAACGTCGCAGAAAGGTGGCCGGTTAGGACAAGGAGAGGGGAGAAGGGAGATCATGACACACGTCGTGACTTGTTGAGCGTCTTTTGCACATGTGTACCTGGGATAAAGGGGGCCAACTCATGATCATAGATGCTGTGCGACCATAAAGCTGGCACCACTACATCCACGCCCGAATAGAAGCAAACTGGGATTTTGCCACAACATACCACGTGCAACAAACGAAGAGTCGTCAAGAGTTCCGCAACAAGCACGAAGCCCATGTGATTCAACATGCGCAGACGGTGTCGACTGGGCTACGCCGACTTGCACCTCTTCAGCCCGGGGCAGGGCGAGTGAGAGCATTAGCTAGAGAGTGTAGTCACGAGGTGCAGACCAGAATGTGGTTCAGGAACAAGGAAAACAACGGAATACGAGCACCACTTAACTACGAAAATTTCGCGCGCGGGGGGGCACCAACACCTTGAGCATTCAACCGAGCATTGCATTGCTACTTCCGCTCGGCTCGCTCTCCTTCCCTTCACGCAGCAATTTCAACTCACGCAAATCACCAAGACTCTCCGGAACCTCGCGGGGTCTCTGAAATTAATAGGGGTGGCGTGGTCTCGGAATAGATGCCTGTTAAGTCGTCGAAGGTCTAAGGAAACCAACAAAACGCATGCCTTGTTTGCTTGTCCGCGCACCTTCCGGAACTCCCGGTGATACTTGACGTGAACTTCTTTCGGTTCCAGTGCGCCCTGGAGGAGCAATTGCCGGAACTCGTTCGAAAGCCGCCCCCAGTCAAAGTTGTCAGGCGAGAGAGATCGCGGAACATCCCGGCAAGGGGCCCTGCGCGTTGAGAACGAGAAAAAGAACATCCACACGCCCGGGCTAACTCAGAGTTGCTGGGACCACGATATCGTTACAGAGACGGAGAGCGAGAGAGAGAGAGAGCTATTTTTGACTCAAAAATCAACTGAGAGCTCGGTGGACGCCGCCAGCGGAGGTGTAAAGATACACTAGCTGTCGCTACAACGAGACAGCAGATGAAACTATCGTCAAACGTGCACGTCCACGGGCGGAAACAGAATGCAAACACCATACACTTGATACTACACCTGCTGTGCGCTGGTGTGAGAGCTGTGGTAACGTAAAATTTCACCTACCGCTTACCCCTCCCCCCTTTGCCCCCGGTGATTGCCATCGGGGTTGGGTTTTCGTCGCTTGGCAACGACGTTCTCAAACAAGCCTATTCACTTCGTGAGCTCGGCAACCAGGTTACCGTTTGTTTTTACCACTGCTTTTCTTTTGGCGGTAACCATCATGGTGGTCGAGTGGATCATGTTGTGCGGGGTGGAGAACCCTCGCTCCGCCCAAGGGGGATGATCGCACCACGTTGTGTTCTAATGGTCAAGCTCCCTCGAAGCAGTTACACAGTGCTAATAACTGTCTCTGGAAGTGAAAGCACCAGAAAATAAACTAAGTCATACGCAACTGTCATCCGTATGCAAGGAAGTAAGCACAAGATGCCGAACACCCTTAGCAGGATGCAGCGCACCCTTCATGCGACTCGCCGAATATCTCACGGCGCTTCGCGCTTGGTGATGTGAGAGCCTGGTC